AGGTGTATTTTCTTGTCACTATGGGAAGAGAATATTACATGCCAGAGGCTCGTGACACTGCTAAAGATCAAAGAACTCCCAGGACAGTCCTCCACAACAAGGAATTAGCTGTACCAAAATGGCAATAGAACTGAGGTTGAGACACTTTCACCGAGGTTCATCCATGTTGCAGCATGTATCCGTATTGTTTTCTTTTTCATTGCAACATAGTATTCCATTGTATGGAAATAAGCAACAGTATTTGTTCAGTCACTGGCTAATGGATACTTGGGCTCTCCTACCATGAATGACAGTCATATGGAAGTCTATTTTGTGTACACATTTTCATCTTTCTTGGGTAAATTCCTAGTTGGGGAATTGCTGCTAAGTTTATGATCAGCTTTTGAAGAACAGCCAGGCTATGTTGAAATATCCCCAGCAAAGTATGAGAGCCCTGGTCTCTCTAGGTCATCATTGACTCTATTAGTATGGCAGATTACTCTGATTATATTTGGAATGTTTAAGCAATCTTTTTTTTTTTTTTTTTTCCAGTACTGGGGTTTGAGCTCAGGGCCTCATGCTTGTCAGGCAGGCGCTCTATCTCTTGAGCCATGCCCCCAGCCCTCCAAATATTTAACCAATCTTGCATTTCTGGAGTAAATATCATTTAGTTCTCCTGCATAATCCTTTTACATGTTGCTGAATTTTTGTTTTGTTTTTTTGTCTTGTTTTTGAGACAGGGTCTCACTAGGCTGGCCTGGAACTCTCTATCCTCATTTCGGTTTCCCAGGTGCTGGGATTATAGGTGTGTACCACCACACCTGGCTTGTTGATGAATTCGGTTTGCTGATATTTTGCATCTGTTTTCTTGAGGGATATTGGTCTATAGAGGGACTTGACAAATTTGTTCTACATAGAGACAAATGGTAAAGAACTTTGGTTTTGTGGCTCTGTAGCCTTTCACATGTACTCAGCTCTGCTGTTGGCAAGCAAAGACAGCTGCATGCAATGTGTAATAAATTGGCATGCCTGTGTCCCAGTAAAATTTTATTTACAAAATCAGGTGACATTTGCTGTGGTTTTTCTTTTCATATAATGCTTCTGGCTTTAGCAAAACTAGCTTCACAGAAAGAGTGGGGACATGTTCCCCACTCTTTTCTGAAAGAGTTTGGGAGAGGTTAATACTAATTCTTCTTTAAGTAGTTGATGAAATTCACCACTGAAGACCTCTAGCCATGGCCTTTACTCTGAGTGAAGGAAGATTTCAAATTTCTCCTTCTGAACCCAGGGCCTCACGCATGCCGGGCCTGCTCTCTACCTCTCAGCCCAAAAATCTGTAATTCTGAGCTGGGTAAAATTTGCATATTCTTATTTTCTCGGTCAGCTCAGCAAGAGCTTCCTGGTGTATTGATTCTCCTCTCAATGTTAGGAGAATAGTCAATGTTCCTCACTGTGCTAGTAATAGTTCTTGTCTTAAAGGAAATTTTGTCTGATAGTAGTGTGACCACTTGAGCTCTTTTAGGGTGGTTTGATATATTCCAGTTTCTTGCTGTCAACCTGCATGTGTCTTTTATTGATTGATTGATTTTCCAGTGCTGAGGGTGGAACCCAGGGCCTCAAGCAAGCTAGTCAAGTGCTCTATCACCCCCCCACCCCTTTTTTTTTTTTTAATTTTTTGAAACAGGGTCTCGCCAAGTTGTCCAGGCTGGTCTTGAACTAGTGATCCTCCTGCCTCAGTCTCCCAGTAGCTGGTCTATTTGGGTTTTTTGAAGGTATGATGGTGTTTGGTCTCGTTCATCCTGTCTGAGAATCTCTGCCTTCTGATTGACATGTTTGTTCCGTTGCCTTCTAGTTATTTCCATATAGTTATTCACATGGTGGATTCTACCTTAGCCTGGGGAATACGAACAACTTTGACCCCACGTTTCCTTCCCTCCTCTCCCCCACCATCTGTGCTGCTTTTGTCACATATATCACACTGATATTTTCATGAACCTAACAGTATAGTGTTAGAAATATTGCCTTATATGTTTTTTTTTTTTTGTCAGTGCTGGGTTTGAATTCAGGGATTTGTTTGCCAGGCAGGTGCTGTACCACTTGAGCCATGTTTTTTGTTGTTGTTTTGTTTTGTTTTGTAGTACTGGGGTTTGAACTCAGGGCCTTCATCTTGAGCCACTCCACCAGGCCTTTTTATGATGGGTTTTGAGATAGTGTCTCACGAACTATCTGCCTGGGCTGGCTTCGAACCGTGATCCTCCTGATCTCTGCCTCCTGAGTAGCTAGGATAATAGGCGTGAGCCACTGGCGCCCACCTCACTGTTTTGCTTTCTGAGTATGTTTACACTTTCTTATTTCTTTGCAAATTTCACAATTTTTGGCTGAAAACTGGAAATTTTAGATAAAAAATTGCAGCAACTCTGTATTCTGAATTTTTCTCACTCTTTTTGTGTGGCTATGTGTTTGGAAAGTTACTTCCTGGCCTAAATCTGTCAAGTTGCTCTCCTCTGTAATCTGCAGCTCTGCTTAATTTTTTTCCCTTCTTCTTCTTATTTTTAAACCTGACATCCTAGGGGTCACTCCTGTGTCTCACAGTTTAAAATTTGGCCACAGACTGGTCAGAGGTCGTACTTAAACTCTTTTAACAAACAGTATGGCTTCCCTGCTCTGCCAGGGGCACAGCGGATGTTTGGCTCATTTTCAAGTCTGTCCTGAAGTTTAGCTTCGGTTGGTCCCTCTTGCTTCTCTGCGTGTCTACCCGGGTACCGATCCTACCACGCATGTGCACAGCCTCATCAAGGCCATGTCTGCCTCACTTCTTAGACAGTCAAGCTGGCAGCCATTGCTTGTCCCAGAGAGGACACCATCCTGTGCTGCTGGCTCTGCTGGTCCTTTGGACACAAGAATGCCACTTTAGCCAGCAATGCTCGAGGGCTGCGGCTCCCACTGGCTGTCCGCCCTGCTGGAACCGTCATCGTGGGGAAGCCCTAGGTGAGTACCCCTTACCTCCAATTTTAGTACTGTTCAGGAATAATTACTCTCAGTTTGTTGTATGCCTTACACTGGTTTTCAGTGCTGAAGTAGATCAGAGTCCATGCAATTTAGAGCTGCTTTTGTTGTAAAATAGTTTACCTCTTAATCATTTTAAGGATGCAATCCAGCGGCTCTAAGCATTTATGTGTACTCATTACTACCGTCAATCTCCAAATGATTTCATCATTCTAAACTGAAACTTTGCATCCGTTAAGCAATAATTCCTCAGTCCCCTTCCTGAAAACTACTGTTCTGCTTTCTTTCTCTATGAATTTGACTACTATGTGTATATCAATGGAATAGTACAGTGTTTGTTATTTTGTATCTGGCTTCTTTCAGTTGGTATAATGTCTTCAAGGTTCATCTATGTTATGGGAGTTTTTGGAATTTCATTTCTTTTCACGACTGAGTAATATTCCATTCTGCTTATCCACTCATCTATCAGTGGACTATTGCATTTTCTTTTTTTTTTTTTTGGAGACAGGGACTCTTTATATAGCCTAGGCTGATGTGGAACTCACTATATAGACCAGGCTGGTGTCAAACTCTCTATATAGCCCAGACTGAGCTGTAAGTCATGATCCTCCTGCCTTAACCTCCTCAGTACTGGGATTACAGGCATGCACCACCACATCCTTTGGAGAGGATCTACCTACTTCCTCACTCCATCATTCTGGAAGTGAATCCCTTGGGTGTCATTTTACATCTATCTGTACTATATCATGTCATTAATGTCTCCTACATTAGAGTGCATGCTGTGTGAGGAGGCAATGAATTCTCTTTTATTGATTACGCTAAGCTAGCACCCACACCAGGCACTCAGTAAATGCCTGTTGAGTATTTGAGATATAGACCAGAGAACTTCCCTGTCTGTCTGAAGCAAGAAGAGTTAAGGAGTCAGGTGCCGGTGGCTCACACCTGTAATCCCAGCTACTCAGGAAGCACAGATCAGGAGGATCATGGTTCAAAGCCAGCCCAGGCAAATAGTTTGAGAGACCCTATCTCAAAAATACCCAACACAAAACAGGAGTAGTGGAATGGCTCAAGTGTCAGCGTGCTTGCCTAGCAAATGTGAGGCCCTGAGTTCAAACCCCAGTGCTGCCAAAAAAAAAAAAAAAAAAAAAGAGTTCAGGATGCACTTTAGGGGGAAAAGTCACCACTGTTTGCTGAGCTCTCACACTGTTCCCCACTCCATGCCAACCTCTTCCTAACCTTACTCCATTTACTCCTCACAAGAAACTCTTTGGCTTAAGAATGTACAATAGAACCACATTTTAAGGACAGGAATTACAGAGTAAAAGGGTAAAGTTAACACAAAAGACAAAAACTGCAAGGCTGGGCAGTGCAGGCCTGTAGTTCCAGCTACTCCAGAGGTGGGGACAGGAGGATGGTAGTCTGAGGCAAAAGCATGAGACCTTATCTGAAAAATAAAACTAAAGCAAAGCAAAAAAAAAGAAAAAGCTGGGGGAGTGGCTCAAGTGATAAAGCACCTGGCTCACAAGCACAAGGCCCTGAGTTCAAATCCCAGAAATGCCAAACAAATTGTATAATCAAAGCAACCCAGAGATGCCGTTGTTGCTCGCTTACATCTATGGTCCTTAGTTGGGATAGAGGGAGACTTGTAATCTACCCTGTCACCCCCACCACCTATTTGAGTTGAAATAATTGATTTTTTTTTCTTGTGGTACTGGGGATCGAACATCAGGGCCTTGTATATATTAGGCAAACACTTAACCGCTGAGCTACACCCCAGCGGTTGAGATAAGTGAACTTGATGTGCCTTTATATGACTGGTTTGGGAATGTGGAAGTAGGGCCATAATATGGCCAGGTAGTGGGGGGCAGAAAAGAGTCAGGGCGCCCCAAGAGGATGCTCTGTGGTCCCTGCAGGGAAGTCCGCCATTGGTGGGGATGGGGAAAGCCACAGCGGGGAGGGCGCGCTGGAACCCGCAGTTCCCTCAGCCTCAAACCCTTGCCCACCTGGCTACTCACCTACTTCCAGGGCGCTAAGTTGCTCTACTCAGTTAATTCCGCGGTCTCTGCGTTGCTAAGTTACCCGCCACTCTCAGAAGGCGGGACTTAGTGTCTGACTGACTTTTGGGTTTCACCACTCAATTCCTTGTTCCGCTCTGTTAGCACCGCCTCCTTAAGTTTGACCAATCAGAAGCACCGCCTCTCTGACGTGGCATCAATAGAAGGACTCGGGACTCCTCCTCTGGTTTCGGGGGAAAGCTTGAGAAGGGATAAGTGGAAGGGGGAGAAAAGGGTGGAGTCTCTTCGTCCCGCCCCCTCCTAAGGAGGCGGGCAATGAATCCTGCATCCGCAGCGGACGACAGCTGGGGAAGGAAGGGAGGCTGGACCAATCAGAACCCAGCACGGCAGCTCAGCTGGCCAATAGGCCTCGGCGGAGAGGAAATGAGGCGGGGCAGGCGGGGTTGAGGGGAAGGTAGGCGGTGGATGAGGGAGCTGGCGCAGCTGCCGTGGTGGCAGCGGCTGAAGTGGCGGCTGCTGTGGTGGCTGCAGTAGCTCCAGGCTCGAGGCTTTGGCGGCGGCGCCGACGGGCTGTGCGGACCCTGGTGTGCGGTCCGGGTTCCTGGGGCGGCGCGTGTAAGAATTCAAAGGGTGCTAGGGCTTGGCCCGCGGGAGAGGGCAGGGGTCAGAGGTCAGAGGGCGCGGAGTAAGGGGTCGCAGCTGGGCACCCGGCTTGGAAGGCGGGCAGGGTGGACACTGGGGTCAGCGCTGTGCCCCTCTCCCCAGCCGAGGCTGGGGCTCTGCACCCCCAGTCCTCACCCCCAGCTTCGCGGGGCGCCCCCCACGTGGGGCGCTGGTGGGGCGGGGTGCACGTGGAGCCGACGCCCCGCCTCTGCCTTGTCACCCCCCGCCCGTGTCCCCAGGTGACCCCGCGGGAGGCTGGTGCCCGGGTCCCGCTGCCCAGCGAGTGGCAGCTGTTCTCTGATCCCGGGACCTTTCTCCAGGGGCGACCTCGGTGCTTTCTCGAGGATGGGGGTGCCAAATCCTGGGAATAGAACCTTGGCCAGGACCTGGGAATCCTGAGTTCCAGTCCTGCCCCAGCACTGTGTGACCTTGGCCAGTTGCCTCCCCTCTCTGGGCCTCCTTTCTTTCTCTCAAGTGATGGATATGTCTGGAGGCTGAGGCAGGAGGCTATAGATTTCGAGGCCAACCTGGGTTACATACCAAACCTTGTTCCCAAAAGAAGCTAAGTTAGACAGAAACAAAATAAGCAAAAAAAAAAAAAAGTGATGGACTTGCATTCAAATTGGGGAATTGTTATTGGGTGATGCTTAAGCCGGGAGTTCCCCGGACCTCTTATGCCTGAGTTAAAATCTGGCCTCTGCAACTTCCCTGCTGTTTTCTTTTTGTTGGAACTGGGATTTGAACTCACGGCTTCACATTTGCAAAGCAGGTGCTCTACCACTTGAACCACACCTCCAGTCCATTTTACTCTGGCTATTTTGGAGATGGAGTCTCAAACTATTTGCCTAGGTTTGCCTCAAACCAGAATCTTCCTGATCTCAGCCTCCCAAGTTGCTGGGGTTGCAAGTGTGTGCCCGGCTTCCCTGCTGTTTTCTTATGAGAAGTAAGTTAGCCACTTTAAGCCTCAGTTTCCTCATCTGTAGGGTGGGGATATTGGCTAAAATAGTATTCTTTCAACAGCAGGATGGGTACATTTTGAACCACATGATTCTTTATTATACACCGTAGGATTTTTAGTGGCATCTCTGCCTCTGCTCTCTAGAAATTACTCCCAAGTTGTGACAACCAAAATGTTTCCTGACATTGTTACTGTCCACTGGGACACATCATCCCTGTTGAGAACCATTGAGCTAACACAATGCTTGCAAGAAGAGTCACGCATTAAACAGTTAAAGCATAAAAGCCATTAGCTAGTGTGACACTAGAAACCTTTTGTTGTTGTTGTTTTGTCTTTTTATTTATTTATTTATTTATTTTTGTGGCACTTGGGTCTACACCTTGGAACTCAGGGCCTACACCTTGAGCCACTCCACCAGCCCTTTTTTGTGAAGGGTTTTTCCAAGATAGGGTTTGAACTGTGTGCCTGGGCTGGCTTCGAACCTCAATCCTCCTGATCTCTGCCTCCTGAGTAGCTAGGATTATAGGTGTGAGCCACCAGCACTCAGCTAGAAACCTATTCTTGATGAGTTAAGATGGTCAACAGTCTGTTGCCTTCAAGACAAATACGGGTGAGATCATGGTCAAAGCCAAGTAAATGGATGCAAGGATGTAGTCTTTCTACTTTTGAGTATTTTTGAGACTATCCATGGTAAAACATTAAGCCAGGGGCTGGGGATGCAGCTCAGTAGTACAGCGTGTGCTTAGCATGAACAAGGTTCGATTTCCAGTACCAAACTAAAAAAACCAAAACCAACCCAGAATACAGTTAAGTCAAAAAAGACAATATGAAACATAATTCTTAAGACAGCCACAGGGTAGCGTCTCATCTGGGATTTCCTGTTCTGCTTCCCCCCTAGTGAGAGTTAAAAGCAAAATAAATCTCCAAATCTGGAGCAAAGTAAAAAGTTACTCACAGGAAGTTTGCTGGGCAGAGAGCTACAGGCTTAGCAGCCAGAAGAACGATGTTTACTTCTGTTCTGCTGCCTTGTTTGAAGAAGATGTGCCATTCCCTGCTGGTGCCCCAAGATCTGCTCAGAGGTATTCTGGGCATTTGTGAAGGAAGGAGATTGCACAGTTGCCCTTCAGTGGGTCAGTTTGGAGGTAACCTCCATTGAGTTCAAGAGGCCACAGCTGGAGGGTGGAACCTGCAGCTGTTTTCGAGTTCAAAGGTCTTTAGGCAGATCTGCTGAGTCCTGGCATTTCTTTTGGACTTCCTAAGCAGAAATGGAACACATAAATAGAACTCGAGCAGACCAGTTCTGAGTGTTTTAAGTTGGGAGTTCGTTGTGTGACTCTGGACATCATTTTTAAAAACTATTCTTGTTCCCTTTCCTCTTCAAATACCTAAATGTAGGTTAGCAATGTTTGTATGAGAGTTATGTATGTTGTTTACCAGAAGAATCCAGAAAGATCTGGGGAACATGTATCTTGCTTAGTAAAGGTAAAGTGAAAGTTAGTTGTTTTTCTTTTTTTTTTGAAAAGGCAATGCAAACTCCTGAGTTCAAACCCCAGTCTTCCCCACCCCACATGCCCCAAAATAAGCTTAGGTGGCCTAGCATGCTAATTTTTACTGTTCCCCAGTCTTCCCCACCCCACATGCCCCAAAATAAGCTTAGGTGGCCTAGCATGCTAATTTTTACTGTTCCCCAGTCTTCCCCACCCACATGCCCCAAAATAAGCTTAGTGGCCTAGCATGCTAATTTTTACTGTTCACCAGTCTTCCCCACCCCACATGCCCCAAAATAAGCTTAGGTGGCCTAGCATGCTAATTTTTACTGTTCACCAGTCTTCCCCACCCCACATGCCCCGGTGGCCTAGCATGCTAATTTTTACTGTCATGAAGTTAGCAGCTGCTTGATCTTGAACCTAGAGCCCTAGAGGTATTGCAGTCTAGAGACTGGAAACATGGGGCTGGCGCAGACTGCATTTTTCCAAGCTTGACTTTCTAGCTGTGATTTCTCAGCAAAGTTACCCAACCTCTCTGTGCTAAACTTTCCCCTTCTGTAACCGGGATAATAAGCCCATCTATCCCAGAGGGCTGTTATGAGGTTTCAATCAGCTTTTATTTATAAATTAACGGTAGAGTCCCTGGTACATGGTATTAACTACTTTGAATACTAACTACTATTATTTTAATGGTTATATTTTTTTAATCTTTGAACTCTTTTCAAAATGTGCACAGATAAATATAAAGAGGGATGGAGGTAGAACAGAACACTAGCCCTCATGTCAGGCATCTGGCCCTGAGTTCAAACAGCAGTACTGCCAGAGGAAAAAAAAGCTTAACTTTCACCTCATTCTCCAGACACAGTTACCCGTAACTTTTCAGTTTTATTCTTGTAGTTACCCTCCTCCATATTTTTTTAAAAACATGGTTTTTCTCTCCTTTTTTCTTTTTCTTTCTTTCCTTTTTTCCCTCCCTCCCTTTCAACAAGATCTTACTGTGTAGCCCAGGCTGGCCTCAAAGTCATGATCCTCCTGCCTCATACTACCAAGTGTTGGGATTATAGGCATGCACCACCACGCTTAGGGTTTTTTCACATATTTTAAGGTTCATATACTGTCACAACACATGCATAAGTTTCACCATCTAAAAGAGCGTATATAATTCAGTGGTGTTTAGTCTGGTTGCAGGGTTGTGGGGTCATCACTGCTACCTAATTCTAGAGCATAGTCATCAGTAGTGGTCATGTTTTAATAATTGTCTTTCTTTTTTTATCCTCCAAACCCTAGAAGATGCTTCTGATGGAGGAGGATTTGAGAAGCACTGCTGGGCCAGTGGCTTTGAAAGGGAGCTCAAACCAGAGACTATTTAAAGCCCTGGACAACGCATCCTGAGGATTGCAGGCAAGGAGAAGATGGCCGTGAGCTTAGACGACGATGTGCCCCTCATCTTGACCTTGGATGAGGGTGGCAGTGCCCCGATGGCTCCCTCCAATGGTCTCAGCCAAGAGGAGCTGCCAAGCACAAGTAAGCAGGAGGCTGGGTGGGTCTCAGGTATTGCAGGAACAAGAGTGAGATGGCCTTCAGAACCTGTCACCTGACTCCACGTGGAGCCCCAAGTTCTGAGGCAGAAATTGCTCCTGGGAGTGTAATGCCACATGTGAGCCTCGTACTTCGGGGGCCTGTCCCGCCCTCCACCACTCACCTCCCTGGCACCGAAGTACCTTGGCCTTGTCCCTGGATGCTTGGCGAGACTCAGGCAAATCTCTTTGGCTGGCTTCCTTGCCCCATTCCTTGATAAAAAAAGAAGTAGATTTCAAACCCAGCCTCCACCTATCCCAGTGTGAAGCTGCTGCAGGGAAGCAGAGCGGCTGTGCCTCTGCTCCCTCCCCAGCCCTGCATGGCCATTGATTTGAGGATTTGAAGCTTTGCTTTTCTTCCTGGGAACCAAAACCTAGCAC